GCGGTTCACCATCCCAGGCCAATGGGGCTGTGGGAAGTGGCCTAGGCCGAGGGATGTGCTGGCTGTCCTTTCCGAAGCCTCCAGTGGCCTGGGACGGCGAACTGCGGCCAGTGGGAGCCGCAATCGGGTGAACCTGCGGACGCGGCAGGTAAACAAACCGGCCCGGACCGCCAGGGGCTTTCCCTGAACAAGTGGCGGACGGACTTTAAAAAGCACTGATCTAGACCATCCCTGACAGGCATTTGTCTAACTTGTTTTTTAACTCCTTTAGGTAATTTGTTCCAGTGCTTAACTATCCTTACAGTTAGGAAGTTTTTCCTAATGTCTAACCTAAATATCCCCTGCCTACATCCCTACTCAAACACCACTGCACAGGCCAAACAGTGAGGAAAAGCAGCTCATACAGGACTCCAGCCACCACTTAGGGCAAGTCTATGCTACAAAATTAAGTTGACATTAGTTATGTCGAATTACAGGCACCGCAGTAATTAGACTGCTTTTGCATGTCCACAATGCTCCTTGTGTCAGCGGTGCACAGCCTCACCAGGAGCACTTGCACTGATTTCACTGTCAGCGTGGGGCACTGTGGGATGGCTTCTGAAAGGCAGCAACAGTCGATGTAAGCAACACAGTGCCTGCACTGACACTGCGTCGACCTAACTACAACGACTTAAGTGCTATACCTCATGTGGAGGTGGAGTTATTAAGTCAGTGTAGTAGGCAAGTTAATCGGTGGGAGCTACGTTTTAGTGTAGCTACTTACAGAGTAAGGTCGATGTAAGCTGCTTACATGCAAGTCTGAACAAATGTAGCTATAGAAATTAAAACTAGGGTTGCCAACCCTCCAGGATTGCCCTGGAGTCTCCGGGAATTAAAGATTAATCTTTAATTAAAGGTAATGTCATGTGATGAAACCTCCAGGAATTCATCCAGCCACAGTTGGTAACACTAACTAAAACTGAAAGGGCAAAATTGGTAGCATGGCTCCTCAATAGTGGTTGCCATAGTAGATGTCGTCCACCTATAGCTTTACAGGAATTCTTCCACTTTGGGGGCAGTCTATAAATGGAGGGCAGGGATTTTTTTAAAAAAGGAAATCCTCATGGATTGTCTTTTCCTCCTATATAGTGCCACCACCGCCCTGAAAGGACACTGCATATGTTTAGCAGTGATGTTAATAAAAGGACCGTAGTTTAAAATACCAAATCAATAATAAACAAATGACCAAACAATCTTCTATATGTGCTTCCCTGGCAGGCAGTCTGGGACTACTAATAGGCACATTTATAGGGGCCTTCAATGTCTCACCTATTGAATTTAATTTTCCTCTTTTGATTACTTAAAACTTTGCTATGAGGGTTGAAATGCTGCAGGCTGAGTGAGGTAGATAGGATAGGTGGGACCACTAGAGAGGGGATAGGAAGGGCAGCAGGAGAGTAATCAGAAGGCGGGGGGGAGCAGGTGTAATAGCAGCTGGCTGGGGGTGGGGACAGCAGGGGAGTACCCAGAGGACAGGGAGGGAAGAACACACAGGAGAGGCAGCAGGCAGGGGAGCGGGGATAGGAGGAGACAGCAGGCTGAGGAGTGGGGGTGGAAGGGAGGGGGGGGGGGTCAGGGAGGTCGACGACGAGGTGAGTGGGTGTTAGGTAAACAAGGCAGACGAGTGGGCATGGAAGAGGGCAGCAGGCAGATGAGTGGGTGCTGGAGGGGGCTGCAAGCTGAGGAGTGGGGGTGGGAGGAGGCAGCGGGGGAGGGTCAGGAGTCACACAGGTGAGTGGGTATTAGGTAAGCAAGGCAAAGGAGTGGGCATGGAAGAAGGCAGCAGGCAGATGGGTGGGTGTTGGAGGGGGCTGCAGGGTAGGGAGTGGGGGCGAGAGGCGGCAACTGTCAGGTGGGAGGGGGCGGCAGGCAGGTACGGGATGGGGGCTGTTGCTGGAGAACGCGCCCTGGTAGCCCATGGATGCTGCAGCTCCTCCTGCCCCGGCTCCTTCCCTCCCTGCCCGCCTCAGGCCCGGCTGGTGGCGGTACCTGCCCGGGATGCAGAGCAGGCGGCGGCGCGGCCGGCTCCCCGATCCAGAGCTGCTCCTTGAGGAGGTGCTGATAGCTGAGGCAGTGCTTCAGCGCGGACGGCACCGTGCCCATGGCCCGGCCCCGGGGCGCTCGATCTGCGCCTGCCGCCCAGCCGCAAGGTCACCGCATCCCCCCACGCCGCCGCCGCCCGGAGCCCTGCCGGGCCCGGCGCCCGCCGCAGCCAGTGGCTGGAGCCCGGGCCTGGGGAGCGCGTGTGATTGGCGGAGAGCGGGGGAATCCTGCATCCCCGCCTCGCCCGCTCCCGACGCTGCTGCGGCAACAGCCTCCTGCGCTTGGCCGCGGCGCCACCAGGGAGCAGGCTCCGGCCAGCCGCGCCGCTCCCTGCAGCACGGCGCAGGGGGAGCTGCAGCAGTCCCGGCGGCTCTAGCAATCGCCCCTGCTGCTCGCGCTGACCAGGAGCATAGGACAGCTGGAATCCGCCCGCCTACACCGTCCCACGCCTCAAGTCCCTCATTGTGCAGCCTGCGGGCAGGGAGACCCAGCGTTTCCATCCAGGCGCACGGGAACTGCCACCGCCCCCGGTCTTCACAGCCTTGCGGCCTTAGTCCACACATTGTATAGGAGCCAGCTGCGACCTTCAGATAGTTTTGGGGGTGCTAAGTGCTAGAACTTTTGGTACAGACCCATCGCTCTTCCATATCAGGCATGGAAACAAGGGATGGGAACAGGCCTGTGAGATATTAGGCCAGGCCTCTAGAGCTGTAATAATAAGAATACAAGAGAGAACCTGATTAGTCAGGGCCCATTCCTTGAACACCCGACATTTCAAATGAGATCACGGAACTTGGGCTGTGCAAAGGACCTCAGGAATCAGGCACTGAAGGACATATGTAGAAACAGGGCAACCAGCTACACTTAATTATACAATTAATTATAACATTTTAAAAATTACCTGGAGATTTTCTTTGACAAGTTACAATACAACAGCATGGGAACTGGGTGATGAGCAGGAACATATTATAGCTAAAGAAGGAGAAAACTGATATTATAATAAGAAGCTACTAGCACAAGTTGTTCGTACTTTAAAATACATATCTGCATCTTGAATATTCAATACGGTGGTTGGATTGTGGTTGTTGGGTTTGGGTTGGGTTTTTCCCCAGTAAAACCAAATTGTATGTATATATTTTGGTTTTGTATTACAGAACTACAAGAAAGGTTCTGAATAAGACATTTTAACATCATTTGGTCCTTCATGTGGCAGTGAATCATTTACAAGCATTTAAAAAAAACTTTTGTATTTATTCTTTTCATTTGTTGGAGCAACAGTAATACAAGACCTATGGAAAGAAATATTTTTCAAATGTTAACAGGTTTCTCAAAAACAGCAAGTTATATTTTGTCATCTTCAGCAGGAGGTCTGCTCAGCCAATTTTCCAAAGCCACTTTCTCAAGTGGAATACCATATGCATTTGAGATTTTCTAATTAATTTACTTTCCTTGATATCACTGGACACTTGTTAAATTCACTGACCTCTCCAGAGGTCATCTTCTGCAAAAGAACATCAGGTTTACAGCCAAGTCTGAATTTAAGCCTTGGGCTCATACACATAATACTTTAAAGCACTTAAAGTATTTGCTGCTATAAGGCTCAATCCTGCATTTCTTGTGCTTCCAAAACTTCCCAGGTGTGTATATTTTCATGAATTCTGAGTGCTATTGTAAAAGATAAAAATAGAAAATGATAGTATACTTTGGAAGCTTGTAGTTTCTTAGTGATAATGGAAGCTCCAAATGGTAAAATTGTTTAGAAATATAATTAGAAAAAGGGCTTTAAAAGTATTGCTAATGATCATCTCTGTAATTCTAAATCTAAGTGCATTTACCTACAGTAAGTGTCATGGGTATTTCCCCACTGATTAACATTTTAGGTAGCTAGTATATTTTCTCTCTTTCTTATGTCCCTTCAGTAGTCTTGGGGGGGGGGGGGAATCTATACTCAAACTTCTTATATTTCCACAACTTCAGAGAATTTGATGTTTTTTTTTCTAAATATCCAATCCAAATTACTGCATGTAATTTAGGGCCAATGAAGTCAATGGTAAAACACTCATTGACTTTATTGGGAGCAGAACTGAGTGCTTACTTCTTGGTTCCCCTGTGACAAAACAGATAATTTTCTAGTTTCAGTGATACATGTGAAGAGGAAGATACTTTACTGACAAAAATAATTATCCTTCGCACTCTTGCCTTTCATGTAGCTAGCACCTTTCATGTGAGAGTATCACAGTACTTATATATAGTATATACCTACCTTTCCAGCTTATATGACAGTCACTTTTCACATTTTCTTTCTTTCTGCCAGTGATGTCAGCCTCATTTCCCCATTTGTTCATCTTTTCCACACGTGTCTTTTCATTCCCACACGTCTCTTCACTTATTTTCCATGCATGGAGTTTATCCATCAACTTCTACCTCCTCCTCATGTAAATTCCCCTTCTTCCCAAAAACACTACTTCTACTACTTCTGTATCTGTTAAGAATATTCACTCTTATTTTGGCTCCTTAATAAATATAAACTTAACTGAACAACAAAAAAATGCACACATTGAATTTCTATGCTATTGAATTGCTTCTAGGAATAACATGATGCAATTCATATCATGTATGACGCAATACCAGCTTCAGATTGCATCATTCATTGTTTTGCCTAAAAAGCAAGTACTGTCCAAACCCAGTCATAGATTTATTAATAGATCCAGTCAAAGATGTTTTTTAGTCATTTCTGGTTTAAATTGAGATCCCTTCCCTTTATAACTCACTTATCCTCCGCCATTCCCAAGACAAGGGTTGTATATACTGACCCAATAGCATAGCTTGAAAACTAGAGCCAATCAACAATTTTAAGCATCATTTTCATTCTCAGTGACCCAGAATTAGTAAAGTTTGCCTACATTTATTTCAGAAGCATTTTGGCTGTAGAGCAGTGTAATTACATTATGCAATAATCTTAATTTACCAGAACACATGGAATAACTCATATGTTTAATACATCAGAATAGAGAGCATGTATTACATATGACTGACTTTTGGCTTTCAATCTGTTTGTAAAACTGTATATCATTGTAATACTTCTCTGAATCTATCATTTAATTGGAACACTGTATTCTGGTCAAAGGTTTTCAAATGTTTATTAAAAGGAATGCCTTTAAAAAATCTTACAGCAAATTATACTGAAATTCAGCAAAATGGGAAGAGCATGTCTATCATGTCTGTTTGTATAATGTACAGCAAGACTACTACTAAGAAGTAGTAAACTAAAAAGTGATGTTTCTATACTGCTTAGTAGAGCCCTATGCTGAACTATTTTTAATCCCACTCCCATCTGGACCCGCAGTACCGACTCCCACTCCCACCTGCTCCTGTATTATGGCAATGGGTCCTGTGGGACCCGCAGGATCCCGGTTCTGCTGCAGGATTCTACACAAGTCCCACACAACGCTCTACTGCTTACTCTCCTAATGCAAGACATAGATAGTTGTCAGGAAGATCAATATAAGTGGAATGATCAAACTCTTGGATTTTCCACTCTGTGGTGCAGGACATTGGCCAAGAAAGGCATGGTAAAAATAGGTTGATAGTTTACAAGCAGCTTTGCATTAAAAAAAAAAGAATTAAAAAACGGTTGTTTGAAGAGTAGTTTGAAGACAGAACAGCAAGGACAGAATCAGAAGCAAGGGAGTTATTCATACCACTGATAGTAGTAAGTGCCAAACTGGCAAGCAGCCAAAGTGCCTACTAGGCAGGAATAAAAGACACATATGGTGAGCCTCAAACAACAAATAAGCCATAGAATTTTGGCAAGCATTACAGGAGTAATGTGCTCCAGCCTCAACAAAGAAGACAACGACTAAAGAGAAAACAATTGTGCTACCAATAGTGGATAATAGCTAAGGAGAAACAAAGCTTTCATCATCTCAGTTTTATTGGCAAAAAACATAGATGACTTCTCACATATGGTAGGTCTGGATGTCCTAAAATGATGGCAAGTGTAACAACATGTTTAAAAAGATTCTAAAAAGTCGTGGCAGTAAATTAGAGTTCCATTAGCAACAGCATCATTCACCATTCTTTTCAGAGTTAGTAATAGATTTACTTTGCCAAAGAAAGACTCCACCCCAGGCGATAGACACCTGGCATTCAAAGCAGACAAAATCAGCAGAAAAGTCCAAATTACATCTCCCCAGATGTTGGATTCTATACTTTCACTAACTCAGTCAGATAGCTATTTTTTGCCAATTAGATCACAGTGTAAAACATAAGAAGCATGGAATGTCATTTAACCAAATAATTCAAACTACAGTTCTAGGGCATTTTATTTTGCAAAAACAATACAAACTTTCTCATATTATTCTAGTATAAGCTGTTGGTACACTTACCAAAAATGGCTATTCTTCTAGGTTAGTCCTAGTTTCATAGTCACAAGAATTAGCCCATAGCTATACCTTAAAATAATATAGTCATATAGAAAAGAACTTCTACATTATATTTAAACACAGAGAGATTATCTGTTGTGTTTGTAACGGTGATATCTTGCAGCCCTTTGAATGGTCCTATGAGTGCTATGGTGAGTAACAAAGAAAACAAAAGCTGTGATGGGAAGCATTTGCTTAGGCATTTTTTTTCCATTTGGGATATTTACATAACTTACATTAATGTTAATGGGCCAAATGTGTCCCTTGTCTGATTCTATTGTAGAATGTATACTCTTTAAGTCTGTGATCATGTCTACTTCTATCCAGCATCCACCATGAATGATGTCCCAATCATGATTGGGACGTATAGGTGCTACCATAATTCTCATGGCAGTTTTCCACTTTGAGGCAAGTACGCTGTCATAACTATAATGGGAAGGGTAACAGCTGTCCTGTATACAGTACTATAAAACCCCTCCTGGATAGAGCCTACAAACTCTTTTTCCCAGAAAAAATTT